GGAGGCTTCAATGAGGACACCAGAGTCCTCATCGACAAACTCATTCATGGGCGCCCCGTCCGTCGTCAAGACAAGCGCGCCGGACGCGCGTGCTTGGTTGATGTAGTGGCCAAAGCCTTCCATCTTGCTCGGGCACAAGATCGCGCTCGACTCGAGGAGGAGGCGGCCAAAGTGGGCCACGTCAATGTCCTCGCCAAAGTGAAAACGGATGTTGGCGGGTGCACCCGTGACGCCAAACATCTCATCAAAGTCTTCCTTGACGCCGCTGTACATGGAGTAAATGTCAATCGGCGGCAGATCCGGTCGGCTCTCCCAGCATTGGAAGATGCGTTTGGTGTTTTTCTGCGCGCTGTGGCCACTCGCGTGGAAGAACGTCATCTTCTCGAAACTTCGGGGCTTGATACGCGGCAGCGCTGGGTGCTTGGCGGCGTGCGTGCGCGCGACGGTCGACGGGTCCGACGACGTGTGCTGCACGTCAAAGACGGACGTATTGCGTGGATTCCCAACGTCCGAAAACCTACCAGAGACTCACTCTCAAAAGGAATCTCCAGAGCCGTGCATTACCATTGCGTGAGCCGGTCGTACGCGTCGCGGGTCTTGCACAAGATCGCGTCAAAGCGCTGGTATTCCTTGGTTTTGAGCTCAAACATCTCAATGTTGGGCATCAAAATGATCTTTTTTTCCTGCAAAAACCAACGATATTGAGCGATGCCATCCGAGCCGCACGTCGTAGTTTTGTACCTTGGGAAAGTTGGGGCGGTCCGGTATGCCTTCGAGGTAGTGGTTCATAAAGATCATGGCTGTGTGCGGGCACAAATCAAAGTAGCTAATGCTCTTGCGATCTAGGATCCTTGTCCAGAGACATTGAGATTGAGGTTGGTGAGAGTCAACCTTGGTAATCGAAGCGCAAATCAAAGACCCAGATCGGCAGCGCGCGCGACTTGAGAAACTTGACGTACGCCATGCCATCTTCGCAGTAGCCGTGGTTGCGCAGGCCTGGCGGCAAAAACACATCGACCTCGGGACACTGCGCGAGAAACTGAATGAGCTGACTGCGTGGCGTGTCGTCGCGGGACCAGACAAAGTCCGAGTTGACCTCGGTGCTGTTGTACGTCCACGGAATCACCACGTCGCCCGCGTGAAAGCACGCTTCGTTGAGGTTGTTGAGGTGGATGATGTCGCCGAGGACGTCACTGCCTGGATCGTGGGCGAGGTGCGGGAGGCTTCGCCGGAGGCGGGTCGTGTCGGGCTGCTGCGTCGCAAACTTGTGCACCAAGAGAAGCAGCGCGCACATCGCGAGGTACTGAAGGTACCGCCGGTGGCGCGCGCTTCGCAGCTCGGGGCGCCGGTGCAGCTTCTACGCAGCGCTGATGACGCATGGAGCTGCAGACGATCGGGCTCGTACCTCCGTGTCGGGACTGGACATGGTCGAAAACCAAATGGCGTCGAGCGATCCCGAGCTCGTGAGAGACACGCCAGTACCAGTTTTATTGACCGGCCGATAAAGTGCGGCTCGCGCACCTAAGAAACGTGGCACGACGAGCGCATCTGGTGGCGACCACCCAATCACGCACCTCCGTTTCGCCCTTGTCCGACGCGCGGGAGCGGCAGCGACGAGGTGGACACTACTACTGACATTAGTACCATCGCGTTGCCTTAGTTGTGCTTCGTTTGCATATCTTTGACCTGCGTTGCGCTACATCGGGCACCTCGACTGATGGCCGTGCAACGATGGAATGGACTCGACTAGGTTCGGTCGTCGAGATCCTTCCTCAGATCCAAGAACGCTTGGTTGGATCCGACGACGTCGCTTAAAGTCTTGAAGCAAACTCGATGTCGCAGTTGCTTTGCCTTGCAGTCGACGACGAGTGTGGCGGACGTTGCACGAGCGACGTACGCGCAATGTGTTGTGACTGCCTGCACAAGAATGCACGCATTCGGCCATAGTTTGGTAGTCAAGGACGTGATGTCTACCGAGTATACCAACTGCACTGACAAGGACATTGCGTACCGCAACGTGACCGGCAAGTCGTCGATTGACATATCAAGGGCGAGTTACTACCTTGATAAACTTATCCCCGATTGACTTCACTTGAGATTGCCGTTGTGGATGCTGTTCGATTGGCTAAAAAATGAAAATAAACGTCTTTTAAGCCAATCCAGTGCCGTGGCTGCGCAAGGATACGCTACTGCCAAACCGCCCCGTAGCCAATGAAATCGCGCGACGTTACTGGTGGACCAATGAAACGCCAGAATGCGGTCACTGAAATTACCGACAACATCGTCTTGCCCATGACCGACGCGCCGACGCGCCTTACGCCTCACGCCCCACGCCGCTGTTAAAGGACCCGGGACAATGGGATCAAAGCGACGGCGACGACGACGCTCTGTCTCGCACGCTACGCCTTGAGGCAGCAGCGAGCCGCTTGGCCAATTGCCAATTGCAAGCTGCGAGCACGGGCCATGTGACATGTCAAATTACTCGCCGGTCGAGCCACGGGCCCAAGTCCGGTTTCCGCCACACCATGAAGGTGGAGCACAAGAAGGTAAACAGGTCCACGCTATCCAGACACATGCTCACCGCCTGTCCCTTAGGGGACCTCCTGGCTGCGTCCGCACCACTACTACTATGGCCTCCTCCTCGCTGCAGCTGTGCTCGTCCTCACCTTGCAGTTGCTTGTTGGGGCGGCGCGCCTTCCTTCGCCAGCGACGCGTCTGATGCGGCGCGGGTCTTCGAGCGAGCAAGCACTACTCGACCACATCGTGCACCTCAATCATCTCAACCACGTGTGCTTCAACGCCAAGGACACAGTGATTCCGTGGCAAGCCAACAGCTCCGACATGGCGTCCGTGTGGCATCGACCGACGTCCAACACGCCAGACGCGGCGCTCCTAGAGTATCTCGCGCAGTGCCCAGAGATCGACATTTACTTGCCCAAAGGGCTTCGCAACTACGGCTACTGCGAAGACGGCATGGCGTACGTCAAGTTTCTGCACTCGCGCGCACTGCCCGAGTGGGTCTTGGACCTCAGGTTCGACTACCAAGGTGCGGCGCACATCCTAAATGCAAGCATGAAGGAGCGTTTGTGGTAGGTCGAACCAACATGACGTACCTGGAGCTCTGCCCGACGTCGGCCATCCTCTTCATGAACCACTACATGGAGGGTGTCCCGGACCGCTCCGACTTTCCAAAGGTAGTTTTCATCTATACACTGCCTCCATCCCACAACTGGTCTTCTATGGTACTAGACCAAGAAGATTGTGCTCATGCCCAACGTCGAGATGTTTGAGCTCAAGGAAAAAGAGTACCACCACGCCGACTTTGTCCTGTGCAAGACCGTCGACGCCTACGAGCGGCTGTCCCAATGGTCGGGCTCTCCATGCGCGGCGGCTTCTCACGCTCGCATTAGGTACGAAGATTTCGGCAACCCGCGGGGCACGCAAGTGCTCTACGTGCAGCACACGTCGTCCGACCCGTCGACCGTCGCTCGCTTGCATGCGCTCTCGCACCCGGAGCTGCCGCCGATCAAGCCGAAGGACTTTGGCAACATCACAATCTTCCACGCTGGCGGCCACAGCGCGCAAAAGAGCACGCGCAACGTGTTCGAGTGCTGGCGACAGCGCCCGCACCTCCCGCCCATTGACGTCTACTCGGTCAACCCGGACACAAAGGCGGACTTTGAAGGTGTCTTTGGCGAGAACGGGCCGCCACGGAGCGTGCGATTTCACTACGGCGAGGACATTGAAGGCCCCGTGTTTGGTCGGTTGCTGCTGGAGGCGAGCGTCATTTTATGTCCGAGCAAGATGGAGGGCTACGGCCACTACATCAACCAAGCACGCGCGTCCGGCGCGCTCGTCTTGACGACGAACGGGCCGCCCATGAACGAGTTTGTGGCGCCGGGCGCTGGCGTGCTCATCAAGGCCCGCACGATGAAGCCCAACCCGTACTTGTTTGTTGTCGGACGTCCATGGCTTCTGATGTTGTTGTTGTTGGTGTCGTAGGAACCAGCTCTTGAGCATGTACGGCGCCATGGAGTGGGACGTGCCGTCCGACTGGATCTGCGATGCGGTCGAGACGGTGCTTGCGATGACGCCAGACGAGCGCGCACGCAGCGGGCGCAACGGCCGACGGCTCTACGAAAAGCAACTGCGCGAGTTTCAAGCCAACATGCGCAAGCTCCGAACGGCCTTCGTGCTCTAGAGAGACAATCATACATCCATCCATCATCCACGTCCTGTCCTTGACGGTTCGCTTGACGACGTTCCCATCCAGCATGTGCAACATGCCTGTCGGACCCACCACTGCGATTGCCCAGTAGACCCATGGCGAACGTCTCTCGTTCATACGATATGTCCAGGGTCTTGGTCTTGGCCATGTCCGATGAACCACCTTGGATGCCAACGGCAATCAGAAAGAGAAGAAAGGGACACCCCTACGGAGCTCGATCCCCGCACCTCATGCGGATGAAGCAGAACTCCACCGACGGAACAAAAGGCGATCGAATTGGGGCCATCTCGATCTTGCAACCCAAGTGCATTGAGCGAGCCATAGTTCCTGCGACGCGACCGGCCTTTGACAGCGGTCCAACATCGTGCACATATCGAAGCCTCTTGCTGTCACCACGTTTTACTGCGCCCTTTGTCACGTGCAAGTTGTGCAAATTGGTGTGATTACGCCCGCGTGATGAGCGACTTGAGAAAGGCGATCGCGCTCTTCTGGACGCCAATCGGCCGCTGCCCGTAGTGGTCGCCGTCGAATGGCAAGTGCGTCGCGTGGCCAGCATACGCAGTGTGCAAGCGCGATGCCATGAGTGGCGGGACATACAAATCATGGGACCCGTTGAAGAAGAGCGCGGGCATGGTGCACTTGCGACTTGCATGCTCCGGGTGCACCTAGTGCGATGCATGAGACCCTCGGCTTCCACTTGTAGTGTAGTAGTACAGCGTCGAGGGAAAAGCCGGCACGGGATTGGATGCTCTTGCGTGCGAGCGCCATCGTCATCCACAGCACAACCCCCGGGAGGTACAGTCCTTGGTTCTTGGCGTTCTCAAAGCAGCTTTGAATCATATCAGCGAGCGACGTGTACGGGCTGTCGAGGACGAGGCCGGCCACGATGGTCTCTTCTGGCGTCGTGGCCGCAAACTCGAGCGCTGTCGCTGCGCCGAGGCTGTGGCCCCACAGAAAGACCGTCTTGTACGTTGGCTCCAACACGGCTAGCGTCGACAGCACGGCCTGCAGCTGCAGTCGCTCTTCGTACCCGCCAGTGACAAACGGGCCAAGTCGAGAGCCCGCAGCCGCCAAAGTCAAAGGTGGACAAAATCGAAGCCCGCACCGAGACATGCGTCGCGCACAGGAATTGCATCGATCGAT